GCGATGAGCTGCAGGGTGCTGGGTACTGGGTACCTACAGACTTGAGGTTGAAGGAATCCAAGTTCTGGGCTGTTGGGTTTAGGCTTTTGGACCACTGCGCTTTTCGTCAGTCTAAATCAGGCTTCAGCCCTTGCTGAGACAGGTTTTCTTCCCATACCGCTTTGAACTTTTTTTGTTTTATTTTGTTTTTGTTTTTTGAGACCGGGTTGCACTATTTTAGCCCAGGCTAGCCCCGACCTTGTGATCCTCGTGCCTCTCCCTCCTGAGTGCTGGGATTAAAACAATAAACATGAAAAAAATCCATAGGAAAAAATCCATAGTTAATTATGATCAGCATGATTAATACATTGGAGAATAAGTAAAAATGCTTGGAATCCCTCTTTCCAGGTCTCTGCCAGATCCTCCTGCCTCTGCCTCCAGAGTGCTGGGATTATAGGGGTGCACCACCACAGCCAGCTTGCTTTGACCATCTGAGTCTCTGTCCACACAGCTCCAGGACCTTCTTATGTTTAGTTTATTTTTACTTTTTTTTTTTTGGGGGGCAGTGCTGGTGATTGAACCCAGGGCCTCACATATGCTAGCCCAGTGCTGCACACTAAGCCACATCCTAAGCCCTGCCTCATAATTTTTAAACATTTGAGTCCCCTGATTTCTTTATTCATCTCCTATAATGTACCCTTTTTTTGTAGTACTGGGGATTGAGCCCAGGGCCTTTGCACTGAGCTACATCCCAGGCCTTTCTCTTTGTTTGTTTTTTTTTTGAGACAGGGTCTCACTAAATTACCCAGGCTGGGCTTAAACTTACATCGTCCTGCCTCAGCCTCCCAGTTGCTGGGATTACAGGCATGGACCCCCCCTCACACACACCAGTTTAATACTGATTGTTGGTTTCCTAGTTCTGCGTTGCCTTCATTGGAGAATCATTGGTCTGGTAGCTCAGTGATTGTAATGCCAGGATCATAAAGCTTTACCTTTAATCCTCAGGAAACTGTGGCTGCCAGACTTTCTGTTTCGCTCTTGGGTCACACCCAGCTACTACCTGCAGACATAGCAGGCACTGCCGCCAAGGTGAGTTGAACAGGAAGGGTGGGGCTAAGAGATCCGGAAATGCAGTTGGAAGACAGGAAATATCCCTGGAGCAAAGCTGATTGTGGGGCTGATGTTATGGAAGATGAAACTGTCCTGTGTCTGCGCCTGGTTTTCTCCCTGCCACCTGGAGAAGTAGCACCAAGCTCAGCTTGCACACTCACATTTTCAACATGGCTTTTTGGGTCTGACTGATGGGAGTAAGGAAGTCAGGCCCAGAGGGTAGGTTTTGAACAGAAGGGTGGTATGCTGGGAGAGGGCATGGGAGCTCTGTGCCCTTTTTCACATCCCCTGATCTTTTCATTTTGGGAGTATCTTTTATAATAAATAATGTGTTTCCCCGAGTTCTGTGAGTTGCTCTGGCACATAAACTGAACCCACAGAAGGGAGTGTGGGAATTTTGACTTATAGTTGCTCACATAGAAATACAAGTAAAACAACCTGGAGCTTGCAGTTGGCGTCAAAAGTAGGGAGCAGTCTTGACTGAGCCCTTACTCTGTAGGATCTGCTCCTGTCTCCAAGTAGACAACGTCAGAATTGAGTTGAATTATACAGCACTCGCCGATGTCTACTGCTGAGCACTACTTGCTTGGTGTGGGGAAAACCCCTCAGCTCACACAAGCATCTTGTGCTGTGAGAGTAGAGTAGGAAAAGTTCAATTTTCCTCTCGGCCTGGGTCATATGGTAACCTACATGTTTGATGTTTTGAGGAGCTATGAAACTCCTCCAAAGTGGTTGCTACACCATTTTACATTCTCACCAGCAATATATGAGGATGCCAGTTTCTCCGTGTCCTTCCCACATTTCTCTCTTTTATCATAGTCATTCTAGTGGGTGGCAGTGAAGTGATAACTTATTATGGTTTTGACTTGTATTTCCCTCATGGCTAATGATGTTTGATTATTTTACAGTGTGGTTATTGGCCATTTCCTCCTTGGAGAAAAGTCTATTCACATTCTTTTTTTATTTATTTGGGTCCGGGGATCGAACTCGGGTCCTTGCGCTTGTGGGGCAGGTGGCAGAACCACTGAGCTAAATCCCCGGCCCATACATTCTTTATTTTTAATTGGAGCATCTCTTGTCTTTTTATTCAGATATTAGAGTTCTTTATATATTCTGGTTACAAGTCTCTTTTGTTAGAATTTGCAAATATTTTCTCCCATTTGGCAGGTTGCCTTTTCATTTTCTTAATGGGGTCCTTTGTTTTATTTGGTTTTTGTTTGGGTTTTTTTGAGACAGGGTTTCCCTGTGGAGTCCAGGCTGGGCTCAAACTCCTGGTGATCCTTCTGCCTCAGCCTCCAGAGTGCTGAGATTACAGGCCTGTCTTACCTTGCCTGGCCTTAATGGTATCCTTTGAAACACAAAAGTTTTTACTTTTGATGAAATCCAACTTACCTGTGTATTTTTTACCCTTTTATGCTTCTGTTGTTATGTATGTAGCTTTGCCTGATCCAGTCACAACAATTTACTCTTAGTTTTTCTCCCAAGAGTGTTGCAGGTTTAGCACTGACATTGAAGTCTATGGTCAGTGTCGATGTAACTGTTGTATATGGTGTAAGGAAGTGATCCAAGGCATTCTTTTTACGAGGCTATTGTCTCAACATCATTTGGTAAAAAGACTACAATGAATACCAAAAACAGTGCCAAGTAAGTTGTTTTGGCTGGAAGGGTTAGCAGGTCATTGGGCTTGACACTGACAGCTTCACACAAGTTCTGGCTTGTCTCTGGAGTCCCAAACAAAGGAGTACTGAGACAAAATTTTTTCATTTTGTTTTTGAGACGCAGTCTCACTATGTAGTTTAGGTTGCACTTGAACTCACTGTGTAGCCCAGGCTGGCCTCAAACTCATGGCAGTCCTCCTGCCTCAGCCTCCTTGGTGCTGGGATTATAGGCATGGACCACCCCTCCCAGCTGTACATTGTTCTTGTGTCCTGCAGCCTTGATGAACTTACTGTTTTACTAGTGGATCCCTTGGATTTTCTACATAGATAATTCATCTGCACATACAGGTAGTTTCATTTCTTCTTTCCAATCTAAACAGTACTTATTTCTCTTTTCTTCCAAGCTGCCCTCCCTAGAATGTCCAGTGCAGTGTTGAACAGCAGTGATGAAAGTAGACGTCCTGGTTTTGTTCTTGATCTCAACAGGAAAGCTTTCAATCTTCTGCCAGTGTGGTGTTAACTGTGGGTTTTGTAGGTGAACTCTTGATTGAGGAAGCACCCTTTCATTCCCAGGTTGTTGAGTCTTTCTGTCATGAATGGGCATTGGATTTTGTCAAATACATTTCGTCTATTGAGATGATCCTGTGGTTTCTTTCTTTATTGATATATTGATTTTTGGATGTTAACTCAACCTTACATAATTATAGTGTATAAATTCCACTTGTTCATTGTATATAATCCTTTCAAATGCTAAATGGTTTGCTGCTACTTCCTTGAGGATTTTTGTGTTTACAATTATAAGAGATACTGGTCTTATAGTTTTCTTGAGATGTGCTTGTCTGGTTTTGGTATTGTGGTAATATGGCCTCATGGAATGAGTTGTTGTCTCCTTTTCTGTGTTTTGGAGGACAAAAACTGGTACTGTTGTCCCTTGACGTTCACAGGGAATGGGTCCCAAGACCCCTGTGAGCACCAAAAACATAGGATTCTCAAGTCTGTTATATAAAAGTGTAATAACGTACTCATGTTCTCCCATATACTTAAAATCACCTCTAGATTACTTACCTAATACATCAGTTCTATGTTCAGTACAGAAGCAGTTTCTTTTTGAATAGGTTTGATTCACAGTTGGTTGAATCCTGGTATGGAATCTACAGATAGAGAGGGCCAACTGTATTGATGTAATTGTTTTGGATTTTCAAGACAAGGTCTCCCAATGTAGTTTAGGGTGGCCTTGGACTCACTGTGTAACCCAGGCTGGTGTCAAACTCAGGGTGATCCTCCTGCCTCTGCCTCCTAATTCCTGGGATTACAGGCTGTGCCACCACACCCAGCAACTGTATTAATTTGAAAAAAATATTTGATAGAATTTACCAATAAAGCCACTTGAGTTTGGGCGTTACTTTGTGGAATTTTTCCTTTTAACTGTGGTGAAAATACATGTAATCTACATCCTACCGCTTAGAAATGGATAGCTTAGTTCTCTTCAGCACGTTCATATTGTGCAGGCAATCTCCAGAACTCTCCATCTTGCAAAACTGAAACTGCACCCATTGAACAACTGTCCATTCCCATTTTTCCTAGCCCCACCAACCATCATTCACACTTGGGTCGCTTTTTTCTTTCGGATCTTGTGGCTAGAGCTGCTATGAACACGGGTATACACAATTCTCCTTGAGACCCTGCTTTCAGTTTTGGGGGTGTGTGTACCCAGAAGTGGAGTTGCTGCCTCATGTTAAAATTGTACAGATCTGCCAGAATGAAACCCATTAATCTGTATAACCTAGATGCACTGCTAAAAAATGGGGGAGCTGGGCATGGAGGCATCTGCCTGTATTCCTAGCACTTAGGAGGCTGAGGCAGGAGGATCACTCAGAGTTCAAGGTCAATCTGGGCTACATAATGAGTTCAAGGCTAGCCTGAACTAAACAGTGAGACTCTACCTCAAAAAAAACCAAAAAGAAAAAAGGGAAAATTTTGTTATCTAAATTGTTTTTTGTGGGTTTTTTGTAGTACTGGGATTGAACTCAGGACCTTGTGCTTACAAGGCAGATGTGGTGCCACTGAGCTAGCTCCCCAGCCCTTGTTATCTAAATTGTGATAGTTTCAGAGATACATACACAATCATGGTGGATCACAGCATATACTTTAAGGACAGTCATCAGTTATATTATTAAAGGTACTAAAAAGTTTAATGGAAGACATCATATGATAGCAATACATACCCATATTCATAGCAGCGCAATTCACAGCAGCTAGGCTGTGGAAACAGCCTAGATGCTCATCAACAGATGAATGGATAAAGACAATGTGCACAATGGAATGTTACCTAGCCATAAAGAAGAACCAGGGCCGGGGATGTAGCTCAGTGCTTTCGCTGCCTGCTATGCAAGTGTAAGGACCCAAGTTCGATCCCCGGTACCAAAAAAAAAAAAGAGAATCGAATCATGTCAACTGCAGGAAAATGGATGGAACTGAAGACCATCGTGTTAGGATTCTAATACTAAGCAAAATAAGACACAAACAGTTACATGTCACATGGTTTCTCATATGAGAAACCTAAAATACAAATAATGAATAAAATAAAGGAATGGCAGGAAACAAGAAGGCAGACTTTTTGGAAATGGGAAAGGGGATCAGAGCAAGGGGAGAGGTAAAGGAAAGGAAGGTAAAGGAACAGAAAATGATCAAGATACTTTTTGTTTGTTTATGGGGTTTTTTGGGGGTTTTTGTTGGTTTGCTCTGTGAAACAGGGTCTTGCTATGTAGCACAGGCTGGCCTTAAACTTGTGGCAATCTTCCTGCCTCAGCCCTGAGTGCTGGGATTATAGGCACCTGCCACCATGCCCAGCTCAAGATAGGTTATATACATGTACCTCACTCATGTTCTACAAAGACAGTAAAAGAAAAAATTATTTAATGGTAACTGGCAACTTTGTAGGTTCAAAATCCTCCATCCCAAGCAATGGTGAAAAGCTGTATTCAAGAAAGACTTAATAGTATCAACAGGTCATTAACAGCCAAATGACCTCTCTTAGATAACTCTCTGTAGAGGAATTCCTTTACTATCGATGTAGGACTTAAAATACCCATATCCCCTCTCTCGTGAATAAACATGAAAAGGGGCCGGGGATTTAGCTCAGTGGTTTCGGCACCTGCCTCCAAAGCACAAGGTCCTGAGTTCAATCCCTGGTACCAAAAAACAAAACAAAACCATAAGCATGAAAAAAATCCATAGTTAATTATGATCAGCATGATTAATACATTGGAGAGTAAGTCAAAATGCTTGGAATCCCTCCTTCCAGGTCTCTGCCTCCTTTTTTTGGAAAGACTAAACAATTCTCATTTTAGTATTTTACACTATCTACATATCAATTTGTGGCATTTGATTATTTGTTGAAAACCAGATTAATTTCAAATTTCTGAGTAGTTTTGTTATGAAACCATGACTTTTATAAGTGACTTTACAGGGCTGGGTGTAATCCCAGCACTCAGGAGGCTGAGGCAGGAGGATCGCTGTGAGTCAGAGGCCAGCCTGGACTACACTGTGAAACTCTCTCAAAAAACAAAACAAAAAAAATCATGGTAAGTAATTTTATAATTTGCTGTCACCAGTGTGGCAAGTTTTAGCTTCTAATCACAAGAAAATTTTTGCCTATTTAACTCTTCTGATCAGAAAGAATTTTTAAGATCCTATAGTTTATTCTTCTACAATTTTATTAGAAAAGTATTTTAGATTATCTCAGTATTTAGTAATTTCTTTAATCCTACCTGCCTTTAAAGTCTAGTGTCCTCCATGGTTTCATTCTCTACTCTTGTAGTCTCACTTCTCACCCCTGGTCTTGAACTTCACAATCTCCTAGGAAGCTAGTTAAAAATAAGGATTCCCATGCCCCAACCCAAAGATTCCAATTCTGATGATGGACGAGAGCCCACTCATTTGACATCTTTTTTGCTTTTTGTTGTTGTTGTTGTTGTTGTTGTCCTTTTAAACATTAGTGTCATCTCCATATCTTTTAACAATTATCCCTAGATGTAGCAAGGTACACCCTGAGAAACAGTGCTTGAGCCACCTTCCCTGGAAGGTCTATTGACTACTCATCCAGTGAAGGAAAGTATCTTGTGTCCAATAATTTTTATAGCTGCTGATTCTCAATTTCAGACCAGCTCTCCATCTATTTATATTTGTTCCAAATGTTGCTCCTCATTCAGAAATTCCTGGTTCAGATGGATGACTCCAACATCCATGTTGCCATAGCCAGAAAGCCACAGACATCCAATCTTCCTTCCTTTTACCTCTCTCCTCTAGTCCTCACCTATAGACCCTGAATGTTGACCCCTATATATTCCCAATATATGGTTATTACCATGGGCCCCATATTCTTCATTTCTCTTAGGCTACTGTAATAGTCCCTGAGTCAATTTGCCAGCACCCTTCCAAGACCCCTCATGAAGCTACCAGAGTGATCTTTCCCTTTCAGGATAAAATTCCAGCACCTTAGTATGATATAAAGAAGCCCTTCATGAGCTGGCTTCTTCCAGCCTCTCTGAACCAACTCCCTGCAACCCTCTCTCCCCCATGCCAGTCATACAGAACTACTGGCTATCCTGTTAACTTCTTGTAACTCTTCAAACATTGCACTCTCTTGTGAAAAATCCATTTTCCTAGCTAACTGCATTCCTCCTCAACTTTCAAGCCTCTGCTCAGGAATGACCTACTCTAACGACCCATTCCTTCCAAGCCATCACTTGCCTCTCCCAACAGTCATATTAAATTTCCATTTCAAAATATTTAGTTATTACACTGTGTTGTGCTCATCTACTTGCCAACCTCCCACTTTGGACTGCTGTGTCTGTTTTTCATATCAGTATATCTAACCTACACAGTGTCTACAAAGCAGACAGTAAATGTTATCTGAATGAAAGAATCACCGAATGAGTTTCTAGTTCATGAGAATATTTTCTTTTGTTTTAACCATGGAAAAATACAACACATTCAGTACACAAAATGAACCAGTCCTGCAGTTCAATACTTTGAAAATAACAGGATTTCTTACAACCATTTTCATCTTCCTTCCAAAGCTCATCACTGTATTTATGAGCACGAATCTATGTGTGGAGAAATCCTGGACTACCACCGAGTCAAACGTTCCTTTTTTAGTTTGTTTTGTTTTAAGCCAGGGATTCCTCCCCAACAGGAGGTTTAGACCTGCCACAGTCCAATCCAGTAGCCATTAGCTACAGGTGACTACTTCAATTTAAATCAATTAAAATTAAGTAAAATTAAAAATTCAGTTCCTCAGTTGCACTAGCCACGCTTCAAGTGTCTAAAGCCCAAAAAGCCATAGGTGGCTGGTGGCTCTGACACCAGACAGTGCGGATGCAGAACATTTTCATCAGTTCTACGGACAGAGCTGGAGACACAATCATAGAAAGACCTCAAGAACCTCACTTATTTCTTTGCTCCCACTATTTTGGCGCTCCTCTGCTGCTTAAAGGACGTGGGTCCCGGGGTCTAGCAAATCACAAGCATACGAGTGAGTGCTAGGGTATCTGATCCTCGACCACAAAGAGATGAATCCCCCTTGTGCCCGGAAGAAATGAAGCTCTCCCTGGGCGACTATCTCAAATGGAAGGCAACACTTCTGAGGAAAACTATGCCATCCTACTTTCATAAAATGTAAAGACAATACCTTCCCCTATTCTAAAAATCCAGCCCCAGGGAGGCTCTAAAAGGGAGAAAAAAGAAAACAGATATGAGGGGCATTTGAGGACATAAAAGGAACCAAAACTCTTTGCACTCCACCAAGAAGTGAGTCTAAGAAGGTGGGGAATGGGGAAAAAGTGGGAAAAAAGGGACAGGTGGATCTGATCTAAAAGGCTGGGGCCTACAACAGGGTCTAATAAAACCGACTCTGAGCAAGGGACAAAGCAAGGAGCTGCGTGTTTCCAGCTGGACAGCGCTACCTCTAAAGCATGAGTCATGCCAAGAAACTCACAGCGGGGACTGCACCGAGTCTGGAAGACATCACTGTTAGGTATTTCTGAGCCCCCACAAAGCAAGCCCCCTCCTCCCCCTTTCCCCATGCCCAGAGAACAGGGAACTTCTGCACAACTAAGGCATAACCTCTCTTTGTCAATGACTTTCTGCCTCGTTAGGGACTTTCTGCCCCACCGGTTTCATGGTCAGATGTTCCCGTAAGATAGAGACTTCCCGAAAACGGTTACTCCATCCCCCAACGGAAACTTGCTACATGCCTCAGCCGCAATCACCCATGCCCACCAACGGACTAGTGCTCTCACCTACAAAACCCCATGTAAGCCTCCAGATCAGCTCATGCTGCTGCTGGTTTCCCTTTTGTGTCAGCCCTGCAGGCTACAGACTGCTGCCCCAATAAAGGCTTGCTGCTTGAACATCTGTGTGTGCCCCTTCTTCAGACACCCTTTCAATCACTCCCTCTCCATGCCTAACAATTTCACCCAAGGGCTCCTTCCAGACCAACGCCACTTCCGCTCTCCTCTGCTCTCCAGGATGCAGACTCAGGGCCACGTAGCCCAGGTCTGAAGGTTTACTTCCTCCTAGCGGCTTCCAAGGGGGCTGCTGGGGGGGGGGGCCACGGGGTGGCAGTCACGTGACGACTCAGTGTCTGCAGAGACCCCGCCCCCCGTTGCGCCATGGGACCAGGAGAGGGAGAGGTGGAGCAAAGAGGCGGCAGGTGGAGACGCCGCCTGAGAACCCAGGCCCTGTGTCCCTCCCTTCACCCACCCCACAGGTGGTCTTGTAGAGGCACAGAGATCAATTCCCCCTTTATTGATACTAGAAATTACAGACTCATGCTCGCTCCCCTCCCCACAGTTAAAGAGGTGTCAAAGGTCTTTCATTGTCGAGGAGGCGGGAATTGAAGGCAATGGCTGTGGAGGAAAAAAGCCAGGAAAGGGGAGCTACATAAGGGGTGAAGGGAGACATCTATAATCTGCCCTGCTTTTGAATTTTTTTAGTGGTGTCCCTAGGAGACACGTTTGAGTAACTTGAGATCTTTAGGCAGACTATGTCTGGGCCTCTCCTTAGGGGAACTGTCCTTGAGCCTCTCTTCAGAGTGGCTGTGATGAGTTTTCTCAGTGCGATGGTGTTGGCTCCTTTCTGAGCAGCTGTGTAAGACCTAGGTGAAACTTAGCACAAGTAACACCATCTTGTTACAAACCCTCCATCTTGTCCCTGTGGGTCTCGGGTTCACTAAAGGACACAGAGTTCCCAGAATGTGCTTGTTTATCTGTTAAGACACCATGGAATGTACCATTGTTTCTGTGTAAAGAACATCCTGTTAGATAAGTAAAGAACATCTGCAAACTCCCCTAACTGTCCCCTAACTGCAAAAATTCCACTTTTGTAGTTCTGCTTGCTAAGCCTCCCTGCAGCCTCTATAAAACCTTCCAACCCCCTGAGCTCGGGGCCTCTCTAAGCTTGTTGCTTGGAGGGTGCCATCTGGCCAGACTAATAAAGGTCTGTTTTTTACTATCTCAATCTGTCTGGTTTGTTTCCTCCCGGGTGATCCTCACTGCAGTCAGCTCCTCGGAGCATTTGGTAAGGCCCTTCATCTTATATTTTGGAGGCCCCAGCGAGATCCCTGGGTAGGAACCCCGGTTTGGCCAAGATTCTGTGGCGGGATCCAGCAGGAGACTCTCGGGCACTGACCTCAGAAAACCTCCGGAGGTAAGCTTTTGGCCAGTTGCAACCATTTGTTAGGTCAGGAGTGAAGTGGCTGATGAGCCAGGAAGCCTCCCCTGACCCCGAGGTTCCTGACGAGGAACAAGGGAAGGTTTAGTTTCATTTTGTTGTGCTGCCCATTTGTCTCATCTTTTATGTGTTAGCGTTGTGTCTGTTGTGTGTCTGATTTTACATTCTTTTCAATCCTCATCAGGAGCAGAGTGATGAGAGGATCCTGTTCTACCGGGTCCCCTCCGCTTGACTGTTTTCTGACTAATTTTAAATTGGCCTTCTCTCCAGAACAACCAGATGAATATGGGGTGAAGTTTTCTTGCAGAAGACTCTGCTCCCTGTGCCAACTGGAATGGCCAGTCTTCGGGGTGGGATGGCCAGCCGAAGGGACTTTTGACCCCAGTATTTGCCGGAAGGTGTGGGGCAAAGTCACCAGTTGCCCCAGCCACCCAGAGCAATTTCCCTACATAGACATCTGGGTTCAGGCTTGAGGAACCCCTGGCTTGGCTGCAGCGCTGTTCCCTTCAAACAGACACTCGCATTTTAGTCGTTGCCCTGAAAGGACCCCGGGGACTTAAGACCCAGGCTCCCAAGCCAGTACTCTCACAGGAACCTGACCCCCTAGACCCCTTGGGAGGCCCTCCACCCTATGTGGAATCCTCCACCTCCTCAGATGGACCCCACTCTAGACCCCGAAATCCTTTCCTTCCTCCGTCTGTTCAATCTTTGGCTCCTACCTCTCTCTATCCTCCTCTCCCTGAGGGGCCCCAGTCCCCAGACTCTGTGACTTCTCCCCCACATACATGAGCTGGGGCTGCGTATGGACCTAGCAAGGTCCCCACTGAGGGAACTAGCTCGGCCCCTCTCTTGCCCCTTCGGGAGACAGAGCAAGGTCACTATGTTTATATCCCATTTACTACGAGCGACTTATACAATTGGAAACATCAGAATCCTCCTTTTTTAGAAAAACCCCAAGCTTTAATCTCTCTCCTGGAGTCTGTCTTTCATACCCATGATCCTACTTGGGATGATTGCCAACAACTCCTCCAGGCCCTTTTTACCTCAGAGGAGAGGGAAAGAATCTGGGGACAAGTGGTCAGGTCGGTACTAGGCGGAGCAGAAGGCCCCTTAGGTGAGCAGCAGCAGGCCTGTATTGAAGCACAACTCCCATCCACCCGACCCCGCTGGCAAGCTAACACCTCAGGCGGGAGAGAAGCTCTCCAGAACTGTCAGCATCTCCTGGCCGGCCTGAGGGGAGCCACTCAGAAGCCTACCAATTTGAGCAAGGTAAGCAAGGTCCTTCAAGGATCAGAGGAATCCCCTTCTGCCTTTTTGGAGCGTCTGTTGGAAGCATACCATACGTATACGCCAATCAATCCAGACACCCCTGCAAATTGGCAGGCAATAAACTTGGCATTTGTTACCTACTCGGCCCCAGAGATTAGAAAGAAGCTGCAAAGGCTAGAAGGATTTGAGGGAGAGAATAGAGAAAAGTTGGTGAGTGTAGCCATGAAAGCGTTTAACAACAGGGATCCCCCGGAAGAGAGAATGGCCAAGAGACTGGGAAAGGCAACCATAGCCGCCTTGGCCAATGGAGGATTTGTCCAGAAAGAAAGACCTGAGAACAAAGGAGGGAACAAGAGAAAAATCCGACCCTTATTAGAGAGAGATCAATGTGTCTATTGCAAGGAAAAGAGCCATTTTAAAAGGAATTGTGAAAAACTAAAAAGGAAAAGAGAGGAGGCCCAGAAGGAAAAAGGTGGAATCCTCTTAGTAGATGAAGAAGATTGACAGGGCCAAGGCTCATGGCCGCTTAACCCCAGTGAGCCTATGGTGACTTTGGAGATAGGGGGAACAGATGCCCAGTTCCTTGTGGACACTGGTGTGGCCCACTCTGTCCTGAAGACCCCCCCTTGGACCCCTCACTTCCTTAAAAACCTCCATTACTGGGGCCACAGGGAAGTTGGCCTCCTACGGTTGGACCACTAGATGGACTGCGAATCTAGGAAAAGGCACCATCACCCATTCCTTCTTAGTTATCCCTGAGTGCCCGTACCTGTTGCTGGGAAGAGATTTGCTACGAAAGTTGGGGGCTGTTATTTCCTTTGAGCCTGAAGGAGGGACTTTCAAACGCAAGCCACCCTCTGCCATTATGATAACGGTTCCCCTAGAAGATGAATTTAGATTGCTAAAGGAGGGTGCAGAGCCCCCTGGACAAAAATGGGATTACCTTCAGAAAAAGTTTCCCAGGTTATGGGCTGAAACTAATCCACCTGGGCTAGCCAAACACCATGCCCCAGTGGTGATCCAATTGTTGGCTTCTGCTACCCCCGTCCGTGTGTGACAGTACCCCCTCTGGCTGGAAGCCAAGGTGGGAATCTCTAAGCACATCCACCAACTCCAGAAAGCCAGCATCCTGATCCCTTGCCAGTCAGCCTGGAATACACCCCTGCTTCCTGTGAGAAAGTCGGGCACCTCAGACTTCAGACCGGTACAGGATTTGTGGGAGGTAAACAGCCAGGCGGAGACCATCCACCCGACGGTACCAAAGCCCTATACTCTGTTGAGTCTCATCCTTCCTGCTCATGTGTGCTACTCGGTATTAGACCTCAAAGATGCATTTTTCAGCCTGCCCCTCACACCAGTGAGCCAGCCCCTCTTTGCCTTCTAATGGACTGACCCAGACACAAGGACTACCAGACAGCTGACATGGACCCAGTTGCCACAGGGATTCAAGAACTCCCCCACTCTGTTTGGGGAAGCTCTCAGCAAAGATTTACAAGAGGTAAGGAGAGTTTTTCCCCAAGCGACTATTCTTCAGTATGTAGATGACCTCCTGGTGGCGACTTCAACCGATGAAGAGTGTCTTGCGGCCACTGAGGGCCTACTGGAAGCCCTCCAAAGACCTGGGATATCGGGTGTCCTGGAAGAAAGCTCAGCTCTACCAGACCAAGGTAACCTACTTGGGCTATATTCTTGAGAAAGGAAAGAGGAGGCTGGCAGAATCGAGGGTATCAGCAATTCTCCAGATTCTGGAGCCGAGTTCAAAGAAACAGGTGTGGGAATTCTTAGGGGTGGTTGGGTATTGCAGAATTTGGATCCCTAGCTTTGCTGAGATTGCCAAACCCCTGCATGAAGCCACCATGGGGGGAAATACGCCCCTCGAATGGACTGAGGCTTGCCAGCAGGCATTTCAATTGCTTAAGACTGTGCTTGCATCGGCACCAACACTGGCATTGCCAGACTTAAACAAGCCCTTCACTCTGTATGTAGGAGAGAAAAATGGGGTAGCCAAGGGAGTGATTACTCAGCTTTTGGGACCATGGAGGTGGCCCATGGCATACCTCTCAAAGAAGCTAGACCCAGTGGCCCGAGGGTGGCCTACTTGTCCGAGGACAGTAGCAGCAGCAGCTGCTCTAACCCAAGAGGCTGACAAACTGACCTTCGGACAGGATTTGACTTTGATCACTCCCCATGCCATTGAGCCCTTGTTGAATAGCTCGCCTAGCAAGTGGCTGTCTGCCAGACTGTTGAAATACCAAGGACTCTTGTTAGAATAGCCACCCATTAAGTTTGCCACCACTGCTAGCCTCAACCCGGCTACTCTACTCCCGAAATCCGACAAACAGGTGCCCATCCATGATTGCCTCGAGACTCTTGAAAACTTGAGGGGAGGGCATCTGGATTTAACAGACCGGGCCCTCCCCCGTGCAGAGGCAATGCTCTACACTGATGGGTGCAGCTTCATGCATGACAGAGTGCGGTATGCTGGGGGGGGGGTGGTGGTCAACCAGGACCAACATGTGGAATGGGAGCAGAGGCTACCCCAAGGGACATCAGCACAGAGGGCTGAACTGATTGCTTTGACTAAGGCTCTGGAATTAGGAAAAGGTAAAAGGATAAATATTTTCACTGACAGCCATTATGCTTTTGCCACCACCCATGTGCACGGGGAAATTTATCAGAACTGAGGGCTGCTGACCTCCGAAAGAAAAGAAATTAAAAAAGACTGAGATATTGGCATTGCTACAAGACATCTGGTTGCCCTGAGAGGTTGCTATCATCCATTGCCATGAGCATCAAAAGGGGTCTAGCCCCGAGGTGATTGGTAATAATGCACCTGATCAGGCCGCAAAACAAGCTGCCCAAAAACCAGTGGAGAAGCAAATGGTTCTGCTTCCCACACTGGTACTCCCAGAAAAACCTGAATACACAGATAAAGAGGTAATAGAAATGGACAGGAAATGCTGGACCCAAGGTAAACATGAGTGGTGGATGACTAATGATGGAAAGGTGGTGCTCCCAGCTGCTGTAGCAGACATGGTGCTATGCAAACTACATGAGTCCACCCACCTCGGAGAGAAAAGGATGATGGCTGCCCTGCGACCCCATTTTGTCAGTGAGGGATTGGCCCAAAAGGCCCAGGACATAGTGAGACAATGCCCCACCTGCATCAAGGTAAATGCAAATCGAGTGACCGGACCCCCCTGGGGTCCGGCACAGAGGACTAACTCCAGGAGAACATTGGGAGTTGGACTTTACTGAAATGAAGCCTGGCATGTATGGGTATAAATACTTACTAGTTTTTGTGGATACCTTTTCAGGATGGATAGAAACATACCCCACTAAGAGAGAGACAGCTGAAGTAACCATCAAAAAGCTCTTGACAGAAACAGTTCCTTGTTTTGGCTTGCCCCTAGCCCTGGGGTCCGACAATGGCCCAGCCTTCATGGCTAAAATATCTAAATTGATTGGTAAAGTTCTAGGGATAAAGTGGAGTTTACATTGTGCCTATAGGCCTCAGAGTTCAGGGCAAGTAGGGAGAGCAAATCAAACTTTAAAAGAGGTCCTAGCTAAATTATGCCTGGAGACTGAACTAGGTTGGGTAGAGCTTCTCTCCTTTGCTCTTCTCCGCACTAGGTGCACTCCTAAGCCGCCCCTCAATCTGTCACCCTTCCAGGTCATTTATGGGCGATCTCCCCGATCGTCCCCTGGTAGATTTGGAGTTGGGGGAAAAGCTTTCCCACCTCCAGCTCCTTAAGTCTTTAAAGGCTGTCCATCAGCTTCAGTCAGAATTACATGATAGATTGAGAAAGGCCATGCCTGACCCCAACAAGAAACCTACAACCGTTGCCTTATAAGCAGGGAGATTTGGTTTTCATTCACAGGTTCGACTCCAAGACCCTGGAACCCCATTGGAAGGGACTGTTTCCCATTGTCCTGGTGACTCCCTCAGCAGTAAAGATAGCTGGACACTCTGCCTGGATCCACCACAGCCATTTGAAGGCGGCACCTCCTGAGGAAGCATCAACATGGCAGATCAACTGGAACAAAAAGGACACTCTCAAGGTAAGATTAATCAAGGACTGAGATGGGTAATGTGGGAACTTATGGGAACCTTGGTCCTGTCGGCTCCGGTACAAGGAGATGTTCAGCCGCTGTCACCTTCCAGCCATGCTCCACAAAATTGGACATGGTCTCTCAAGAATTCACTTACTGGAGCCCTGATTGCCACTGTTACAACAGACCAGCAGCCCATCTTTCAGGTTTACTTGTGTGATATAGGACTAGTTACTGGGACCGTGGGAGTGTCTGATGTTGCAGGACCATGTTCAGATCCCCCTTCAACCCCTGGGGGGAAACGAGGATGGTCTACACTTAACAGAGAAAGGGGTCTCCAGACCATAGATATTTATGCATGTCCTATAGGTAAAACCCCAAAATGTAATGGGGGACCAGGATACCATTGTTACTATTGGGGCTGTGAGTCCATAGCCCCACGGAAAAATGATGACCAGTATTTAGCCTTGGAGTGGCGAACAGCTAGTAGCTCATGCTCCCTGGGACAACTTGGGGGTTTTCCCACACTGTTCCTTGTGGCCCAAGGTCAACTTTCATAGATTTTTTACCTTGAGTCAATTCATATGACTTCACACTTCCCAGCTGTATGAAAGATTTCAACCCTGTAGGTTTGACATGTTGAGATTGTGTCTTCACATTTAATGCTGTAGATCTCACACTGTGGAACTCAGGTCCTGGTATCCACTGCAGAGATTTCCTGTTTCTAAGCTGTGGCTCTGAGGTTGATGCAAAAGTTTTCCTGTTTTGTAGCCCCTGTCCTGGGAGCAATTCAGGGGTTTTCACACACTCTAACTGTAGATTTTGCTCTGTAGATTTTGCTCCTGGAAGTTTAGGTCCTAAAGTCAATTCAGATGACTTCACATCTCCCGACTGTATGGAAGATTTCACTTCTTCAGATATAAAACCTTGAGATTTTGATCCAACATTTAGCCCTACAGAGGTCACTCCTTGGAACTCAGCCCTTGATATCCACTGAATAGTTTTCGTACTTCTGATCTGTGGCTCTTTGTTTAACTTCACAGTTTTCATATCTTGAAGCTGTGGTCCTGGGGTCAACTTGGGAGATTTCCTACTTTGCAACTGTGGTTCATATTTGAATGCTTTAGCTCTTACATCTTGAATATCTGGTCCTGGAGCCAATTCAAATGGTTTCATATTTTTCAACTGTATTTTGGAATTGAGTTGTACAGATTTTATACCTTTTGATTTTGGCTCTGGAACGAACTCCAAAGACATTATACTGTCTGACTTGAATCCTTTCTTCAGTTGTTCTATATTCACATGTTTCCATCCTGGTAAGTTTACAAATACCTGGCCATCCTGTCCAGGATCAAGAGTTAAACTCACTGGTGTCACCCCTTGAAAGCGTTGCTTTGGGTCTAAATCCACAGATTTTACTTCTTGAAACCCTTGTCTTCTAGTTACATTCCCAGATTTTGCCTCCTGCCTCTTAAGCCTTGGGGCCAACTTCACAGATTTTTCACATTGGAGCTGTGAATCTGGAGTATCCTTTACAGGTTTTAAATTTTGCAGCTCAATTAATGGAGTAACAGTCACAAGTTTCATATCTTGCATTTGTGGCTCTGAAATGAGTTCCTCAGGTTTCATACTCTGCAGTTCAGACCTTTGAAGAACCTCCTTGGACTTAATAACTTGAACCAAAGAATCTGGTGGAAAAGCCACAGAATCCTGACCTTGCACCTTTGGCCCAAGTTTCAGTTCCATATCTTAAATCTTTGTACCCAAGACTAACTCTTCAGTTTTCAGATCTTGAATTCTTGAACTTGGAGTCACCTCCACAGATTTTAAACCTTGAAGCCTTGAGACTGGGATATGCTCCCCAGGTTTTATATCTTCCAGCTGTGGCTCTTGGATCAATTCAGAGTATTTCATACCTTTTGACGGTTGCCCCCTGGTCAATTCAGAATGATTTGCACATGGTAACTGTGGAGCAATAGCAGTAGAAGAGATAGAAGTCATCAAACCATCTGACTGAGTTGGCCTTGGGGTCAAATTTGCAATTTGAGACTGTGAACCCGAGATCAAACCCCCAGATTCTATATCAGGTGACTGTGCTGGTGGAATCTCCATGAAACTCATGGTTTGTGATAGTGCCACTGGAGTTACTTTCATGTAATCAATGACCTGAGGTAATGGTGTTGAGATCATTTCCAGTGATTCTGTGTTTCGATGTATCAGGTCGAAAGCAATCTTTACTTGTTCCATGGACTGACTTTGTGACCCTGAAGTCATACTCAGTGATTCCATGACTTTGTGCTTTGGCCCGGGGGCCATTTCCACAGTTTCCATGACTGTGTGTTGTGGCACTGGACTCATATTTCCTGGTCTGATAGACTGCTGGTCCATCAATGTATTAATCTCCACAGACTCTGTGGCTTGATATTGTGGCCTTGGGGTCATTCCTAGTGGGTCTGTGATACATGGATATGAGTCATTAAGCATTCTTTTAGAATCCATGACTTGAGGCAATGTCAATGGGGTTATCTTTACATTATTTTTGACTTCATAAGGAAGCCTTGGGGTCGGCTCCATGTTAGTCACTTGTATACTAGGTTGAATTTTTTTTTCTGGAAGATCTACAATACTTTGCTCTATGCCAGGCTGTTTTGGCATTGCCCATGATTTCTGCACAGAACTAGAAACATTTGAAGACAAATGTCCTTCTAGCTCCCCTCTAGCCAAAGGAGAGAGCTGGGCCAGGGCCCACCCTGGAAGTGCTGGTGTTTCATTTAAAGCAGAACTTGGCCCATGATCTAATAACAAATGATTCCTGCTCCCTCTCTTATTTTTTGGTTTCTCTTCTTGTTTGAAAATATTTGGGAGTTCAAACATAGAGTCAACAGAAGAGTTAGGTGGTGGTAAATCCGAAAGACGTTCCAAATACTGAAGTTGTTCTGCTTCTTCAGACCCTGACAGCTAAAAAGGTGGCAGTGATGTGCCTTGGTTCCTGAACACAGATGGTTGCTTTCTGTGGGAAACAGGCAAACAATCGCTCCGAAATTGCCAAGTTGTCCCTTCAGAGAAGGCAGGAAGGTTAGACAGGCTGGAGCTTTTTATTGATGAGCCAGAAGAGGTGCTGTGATCAGTGGAATATGTTGCCTGTTCACAGACACAACAGGGTGCAACAGCCTCCTGAGCCTCAAGAAGAGAGGTGGTGGGGAAGTCACATCCTTTGATTCTGCCAAATCAAATTCCTTAAGACTTAATCTAAGAAATAAAGAGAAAAATTTTTATTTGCTCTGGAGTCAGAAAAGCGGGGGAGGAAATGCAAAGGGAGTGTCCTTTTCAAATGCAAAATATTTTTGGCCTGTGGGAGAGTTGGAAAAGAAAAAAAAAGTTACTTCCCCCAACCTCAAATAATAGTGCAGGGGCTGGGGATTTGGCTCTGTGGCTCCACACCTGACTCCCAAGCGCAAGGTCCTGAGTTGGATCCTGGGTTCCCGGGAGGTAGGGAGGGGTCCCAAAAATTCCTCCACTGGGCAAAGATAGGCATCTATTCCTGAAATAATACTTCAACCAAGTTGAACCCAGGACTTTTCCTGCTGCTACCTTCAGCTGGGAGGGGTGGCACACACCTGTAATGGAAGCACTCTGGGAAGCTGAGGCCAGAGAATTCCAAGTTCCAGCTTAGCCTTGGGCAATTTAGTGATTTAGTGAGATCCTGCTTCAAAATAACAACCTTAGAGCTGGGGTGAGGCAGGCCTGTTATCTCAGCACTTAGAGGGCTGAGGCAGGAGGATTGCCTCAAGTTCCAGGCCAGCCCAGGCTCCACAGTGAGTTCAAGGCCAGCCTGAACTAAATAGTGGGATCCTGTCTCAAAAAACAGAAACAAAAACAAAACAAAAACAAACAAAAAAAGTAATTAATTAAAAATTTTAGGGGGCAGGGATGTAGCTCAGGGTGCAGCGCCTGCCTGGCAAGGGCAAGGCCCTGAGTTTGATTTCTGGCACCAAAAAAAGAAAAAACAAATTTTTTTTTTTGGTACCAAGCATCAAACTCAGGGACCTTGTGTTTGTGAAGCGCATGGCAGCACCACTGAGCTAAATCCCCAGCCCTAGAAAAACAGTTTTTAAAGGCTGGGGATGTACCTACCCTAGTGCAAAGGTTCTCAGTTCAATCCCCAATACCAGAAAAAAAATTATCTTTTCCCCCTTTGCTTCCCTCCTTTACTCTCCCCTTTCTCCCTCTTAAATGCTCTACAACCTTGTCCTCCACCCAGAAACGATGTTCTCTGACCTTGCACTCTCCAGGTGTTGGAAGATCTGTTGAAGACTCCTGCCCATTGACCGGAGCATACGTTCCTGGGTCCAGCCCACAGGGAGTTCTGAAATACTGGATGCAACAGAATGTGTCAGTGTAATTTAAGTGATATCAGAGTATCAGTAAGCAAACCATCAGGAGAGGGATTTAACTTGGAAAAGAGACCATGTCATAAGGAAAGAAGAGGACCAAGTATTTTACTCCTAACTTTTACAGTTAGGATGGTTTACATAGGACAGGCTGAAGACAGACTTTACTGACTGTGACAGGTTATCTTTGCTCCATTCCATCCTGAAGTTTTCTTCTGACTCTGAAACTGGGAATCGGGATGAAGAATCTATTAGCATTGACCACTGGGTTTATCCAGCACAGCCTTCTAATTTTGCACATAAGGAAACAATGATGAAATCATGAAGCTAATTAGTGGTAGAGCTCAGGTCTCAAGTTTAAAAAAATAATTAATACTATGCTACCTTCAGCATGTAGTAGATGGCAGCCTTGTGTAGAGCAGGAATGATCATGGAAATAAGGAGTTGGAGTGGGGAAAACAGAGGTCCTGATCCTTCTTTTCCTTCTGACATCTATGGTAGGGAAGAAAAGACACTGAAGCTTCCCTTAACGAACTCTTAGTAGTTAATCTTTGTTTTCCTATCTCGCCATAATTCTTTCCTTTACTTTGACCTTTCATAAAAGTTGAGAAAAAAAAGCATGAGTAAAGGAACCGTGGAAACATCTCTTTGGAAGTACAGATGCTAGAAAGAATAGGCACGCTGGGCATAGTGGTACATGCCTGTGGTCCCAGCACTTGGGAGGCTGAGGCAGGAGGATTGCCTCAAGTTCAAAGCCAACCTGGACTACATAGTGAGTTCAAGCCTAGCCTGGGCTACATAGCGAGATCCTGTCTCAAAAACAAAACAAAGAATAGGCATATTTCTTCCATTTACACCCTCTTTTTCAACCTCCCTCCACCTGCTGTTTAAGGCTAGAATTTTAAAGCAGAAGGACAGCTGATCAGCCATTAGCCTTGAGCTGCAGAGTTAAGGATAAGATTGTTCTGACCTGTGCGTTTCTGAATCTTTTTCAGCTTCTGTTGCTTTGAAGTCTAGAGAAGCACAAAAAGAAAAAATAAAATCAGGTTATTGTATTAGTCAGCTTTATATTGCAGCGACAAACTACTTGATTCACACAACTTAAAGGAGGAGTTTTGTTTGGCTCACAGTTTCAGAGTCAGTCCACGATGGCTGAATTGGAGGCAGAAACATTGTGGCACAAGGGCCGAGGAAGCTGCTCACCTTGAGGCAGCCAGGAAGCAGAGCAAGCAAGGAAGAGCCAAGGAGGGCCAGGGGCCAGTAGAGTCCCCAAGGCCACACCGCACGACCACCAGACACAGGCACCAGTGCATTTTCCTGATCTAGGGTCTCTCAAGCCCGTCAAGGTGACGATCACAATTAACCGTCAGAGTTAGGTTCTAGATTAGCGACTTATGAACAGCACACCTCATAGAGAACAGAGAGTGACACAGCTGGCATCTAGAACCATGGCATTAATTACCTCACATTCGTTAATTTATGAATCATTTGTTGAGTGCTAAATTCTAGGTATTTTGTGGGGTGCTGAGACTAAAAAGATTAGTGTGATCCCTGTACTATAGGAACTTACACTAGTAAGGGACAGTTGTCTAAACAGGTTAAATTAAATCACCACATGGTAAAAGCTGTAACAGAAAGCAGGGCATGGTGGCGCACGCCTGTGATCCTAGCACTTGGGAGCCTGAGGCAGGAGGATGGCTGTGAGTTTGAGGCCAGCCACTGATACACAGTGAGTTCAATGCCAGCCTGAACTGCATAGTGAGACTTTGTCTCAAAAAGCAAAAACAAAGTACTGGCCAGCCTAGGCTATATAGCAAGTTCAAGACCAGCTGGGGCTACATAGTAAAACCTTTGTCTAAAATTTTTTTTTTCTTTTGGTACCAGGGATTGAACTCAGGACCTTGCGCTTGCAAGGCAGGTGCCAGAACCACTGAGCTAAATCCCCAGCCCAAAAGTTTTTTTTTTTGGTATCGGGGATCGAACTCAGATCCTTGTGCTTGCTAGGCAGGCATTGGCACCACTGAGCTAAATCCCTGGCCCCAGAAATGTTAACTATTAAAAAATAAGCACCTGAACAGAAACAACAGAAGGCAGAAATAATCCTATAAAGACATCAGGTATTAAAATTATCAGACCTAGGTTAGAAAATAACTATATACATATATATTATTGGGGGGGGAGGGGGGACAGGGTCTCCCTATGCATTTCAGGCTGGCTTCGAACTCACCAAGGCCCTCCTGCCTCAGCCCCCTACGTGGTGGGATTACAGCCATGTACCACCTTGCCCATCAGAAAATAACTATACATATTTAAAGAATAAAATGCAAACCTAACTATATTTTTCAGGAACAGAAAACTACAAAAAGTGATTTTGCAGATTTGAAAAAAAAGGCAAATATTGCTTGTAGAAATGAAACTCTCCTCACACATGTGTGTCTGTGTGTTTACGTGTGCTATCATGAAAAATAATGTGGCCTTCGTTCCAGGTTCCTAGTACAGAGCTTCAGAACACCTTGGGATTTCATGAACTTTGGGGGGTCTCTTATGCTAATGAGATGAAAGAGGGTTGGCTTTTCTTTTTTTTTCAGGACCTTGTGCTTATGAGGCGGGCAGCGGCACCACTGAGCTAAATCTCTGGCCCAAGAGGGGTAGCTTCAGCTTCCTCTTTAGAGGCTGGGATAACCTTGATTCTGAAATCTGGCAAAGACATTACCAGAAAGGAAAATAACAGGTCCGTCTCTTTCATGGACATAGACACAAAATCCCAAATAAAATAGCAAACTAAATTCAGTGATATATATTTTAAAAATCATGAACGTCATGAGCATGTTGTATTTATCCTAGGAATTCACAGTTGGTTTATTATTTTTAAATCTCAGTATAATTCTGCCTATTGATAGAACAAACAAGGAAAACCATATGACCATCTCAACAGAGGCAGGAAAAACATTAAAGTTAATAAACTTTAATGCCAATATAAAAAGAGATACAACTTAAAAATTGAAAAAGGAAGAAAAAGCAAAGTGAAAAATCAAATATCCATACATGCTAAAATTCTTAGCAAAATAGAAATAGAAAGGAACTTCCACAATTTAATAAAGAATGTTTGAAAAACCATATATAGAGCAAACATTATACATAATGGTGAATTATTGAAAAATTCAAGTACGTAGGAAAAATGATAGGGATCTCCACTATACCACTTCTGTTGAACATGGTACTGGAAGTCTTAGCCATGCAATGAGGCAAGGAACAGAAAAGACAAGGTATCAACCAGATGTGGTGCAACACACCTGTAGTCCTAGCACTTGGGAGGCTGAGGCAGGAGGACTGCCTCAAGTTTGAGGCCAGCCTGAACTACATATCAAGACATTGTTCCATAAAAACAAAATATTTTTTAAAATTTAATTTTACTGGTACAATTTAAATGTACATAACGATCACATTCACCTGTACATGATATATCTTGATTTCTCTCTCTTTTTTTTTTTTTTTGGTACTGGGGATCGAACTCCAGACCTTGTGCCTGAGGGGCAGGCAGCAGAACCACTGAGCTAAATCCCCAGCTTGATTTCTCTTTTATCCCAATCACCTCCCTTCTCCTCAGACCACCCCCCCTTTACTTACAAAAACTGTTTCCATTTTTTCCCTTTTTTTCTCGTTTCTCTCCCCCCCCACAGTTTCCCTTTCCTTTTGAACAGTTTCTTCCTATTTCATAATATCTATTATGCATTTTTGTCCTTATTTACCCTTTCAGTTTCTCACGCCAGACAGACAATGTAATATTTACACATATATGTCCGGTTTATTTCACTTAAGAGAATAGTCTCAAGTTGCATCCATTTAGCTATAAATGTCTCAAGTTTGTCTTTCTTTATGGCTGAGACAAACAAATATTAAAAATGAAAGAAAGAAGGAAGGTCTTAGGATGTAGCTCAGTGGTGCTATGCCTGCCTGGCAAACACAAGGTCCTGAGTTTGATTCCCGGTACCAAAAAAAAAGGAAAAGGCATAAAGATTAGAAAAGGAAAAATTAAATTATTATTTACAGTAATACAATTATGTAGAAAATTTTTTAAACCTACTGATAAATCAGAATTGATAAGCAAATTTAGCATGGTCTTTAGGTACAAGATCGATTTTAAAAACTCTCACATTCCCAACTTTCAGAATTATTTTTAAGTGCCATTTAAAACACTATTCCAAACCAGATATTATGTGCCTCCTGATGATTATGAAATACTGCCTCCCTCCTTCCCCAAAACTAAGACTGATGAGGGCCGGGGATTTAGCTCAGTGGTTCTCCCACCTGCTCCACAAGCCCAAGGACCCGAGTTCGATCACCAGTACCAAATTAAAAAACAAACAAAAACAACGATACAAAACTAAGACTGATGAGTCTTAGATGAGTCCAGCTTCCCCTTTGTCTTAGTTCATTTTCTGTTGCTATAACAGAATGCCTGACTGGGTAACTAATAAACCAGAAAAGTTTATTTTGGTTCATGCTTCTGTGAGTCCAAGGGCACAGTGTCAACATCTCAGTTTCTGAAGAGGTCCTCAGACAGCTTCAATTCATGGCAGAAAGCAGAGGGCAAGTGAGTGTTACGGAAGAGAAAAAAGGGCCCCTCTTCTGTGATAGCAAATCCCGTCCTGAGAGACTCAGAACTCACACCTCTGAGGATTTAGCCAGTTTAGCAAGAAAAATATTAATCCCTTTTAGCCAGGCATGGAGGTGCATGCCTGTAATCTCAGCATTCAGGAAGCTGAGGCAGGAGGATCGAGGTGAGTTCAAGGCCAGCCTGGGCTACACAGCCAGAACCTGTCTCAACCCCCTCCCCAAAAGAAAGATATTAAACCCATCTAAAGTCCCACCTCCCAAAGCTGCTACCTTGGCAACCAGATTTCAACATGAATTTGAGGATACAACCATCAAAACCTTAGCTTAGCACTCACAGGAAATACACAAAGACAACAGGGCACCTCAACTAACAACATGGGTATTTGATCACCAAAATGTTGACTAAAAAAATGCGAAGGAGGGCTAAGGATTTAGCTCAGTGGTTTCACCGCCTGCTGTGAAAGCGCAAAGACCAGAGTTCGATCCCGGGTACCAAAAAACAAACAAACAAAAAAATGCGAAGGACAAATGACCCATTTCCTCAACACATAAATGGAAAAAAATGAAAGAAATAAAGGTGGGGGACCTGTGGATTAGAAAAGACTTAAGAAGGGCCAGATATTTAGTTCAGTGGTTCTGCCGCCTGCCTCGAAAGTGCAAGGCCCCAAGTTCGATCCCCAGTACCAAAAAAAAAAGACTTAAGTGACACACCCATATGTGACCCTGAGTCAGACTCCAAATAATACCATGTTGTTTATGAAACAATTGGAATTTGAATACTCATTGGTATTTTATGAGGAAATATTGTAAATGTCTAGATGTAGTAATGGTATTGTGTTGCCAGGCATGGTGGCACATGCCTGTAATTCCAGCTCTTGGGAGGCTGAGGCAGGAGGATCACTATGAGTTTGAATAATGAGTTCAAGGCCAGCCTGAACTACATAGTGAGACCCTGTTAAAAAACCAATAACAAAACAAAACAATAACAACAACAACAATGGTATTGGGATTAAGCATCTCTCTTGTTTTGAGATAGTCTTGCTATAGTTGCCCAGGCTGGCTTTTAAATCCTGGACTTGAGCAATCCTCCTACCTCAGCCTCCTAAGTAGTTGGGACTACAGGT